AACTACCAATACTATACTAACATCTTTAACAAGTATTTATAAAAAAACTTTTGTTGCTATATTATTTAACAATGAAGGAATATAACTAAAATAAATGAACGTTTGTTTTAAATCTTTCTGATCCTAAAATTTATTCATCTTTTGGGATCTGTGCCATCATATATCACATATCCAATAGTGCGAAAACCTACGTACATACGTATGTGCGTATATTTTTACTAATTATTATTGTTCGATTAAATGACTTTATTTAGACAAGGAAGAAACATATAGAAATACATCCTCTATCTTTTACAGATTTTACAGGCTCTATACCGAATATGCTTAAACTTAAATGACTATATCTCTAAAGAAATATTTCATCCCAAACAATTCTATAACTTATTGCATATCTATAACCACATATAGACATATCATATCAGGGATGTAGTTGATATCACAGCTAAGGGAGAAACTTGTTATCCACTTAGCCAATTTAGCAGAGAGCCGTAATTATTAACAAGAAATAAACTAACTAATTTATTAACACAAAAGACACTATAAGAGTTACAAAACAAATATTCTAATATTGTGTTCCAGACACACTAATAGTACTAATACACTAATTTCCTTAGCTACTTAGCAAGTTCCAAACTTACTAAGAGTACAACACAAACAACCTAAAGATAAAAATCCACCAAAACTAACTTACTAAAGTACTTTCCAAATTATATAATATTCTATATGTCTCTATTTATACATATAATTATACTACAAATTGACTATTAACTATTTATAAATATGTCGTATAACTATATAAAAGTCTAATTAAAGTATACTCTTTACTATAAACTTCACATAGACTATTATAGAGTTATACTACAGATTATACATGTTCCACAAGCCAAAGTTTAATTCTGAAACTTGGTTGTGTCACACTAAGAAGGAATCATATTGCTATAAAAGGAACAGTGATGTAGATATTGATGATATGAATGTTACTAAGATATAGATTCTTGCACTCTTACAGCAATTGCGGTGTCTAGTTACCAAAATGCGAGGTTCATGTGCTGCCTGTCACAGCTGTGAACACCAAACACAAGGTTCTTGCTTAAATATTAAACATAAGGCCTAACCCTTTTTACAGCAGCCACAATACCTATATCCCAAACATGAGGTTTTTGCTCTGGTTACCCATCCTCATTGTAATTCACATTATGACAACTATACTAACCAGAAAATACTTGTATCTAATAAGACACAGTAACATCGTACACAAATATCCATAAGAAGTTAAGCAACAAATTGAATATATGATATATAAAGTCATCTGATTTCACAATAATGAACGCTTTGTTACTTCATTGACAAGCTTTTCAATGCAATACCGATACTCCTCACATCTCCTGTTTCTGGTTTGACATAACAATGTTGCGCAGCTATCTTATGAAATAAACTGCAGTTATCTTGTTATGTGCAGGTATTTACTGATTTTGCATTGTGATTGCATATGGTTATTAAATATTGCGAGTTATATGAGTTTTAGCAAACAGGCAATCAATTAAGAGAAGTTATTTGGCATATGTATAATGATAGGGGGTGAAAGGGAGAAGTATTATGATAGGGGGTGAAAGGAAGAAGTATTATAGTTTGAGGAGTTTTTTAAACTTTAAACATTGTTTTTGGTTAAGGAGGATTATTTTTCTCTTCGCTATCGCTCGCCTTGTAGAAGGCAGACTCTTTCGTTCTGCCCTTTCCCCCTAATAGCATAAGTTGTTTTGAGCTTGGAGATCATAACTACAGTACAAAAACCTGATTTTTTATTGCTAAGAAGCTTTATGGTTGCAATTGCAGTGCAAGAATCTTTTTTACTATTACTATTACAGTACTGCAGTATTGCATTGCTTTAGTATGTTCTCGATTCTATTCACTGCTATGAAGACTCTTGGGCGACTATTTCTTTGTGTAGTCATAATGGATATTAAATACATGTTCCTATTCTTATGCATAATGTATATGATTGCTTATTTATACGTAGCAATTCAATTATAAGCAATTATATGCAATTTAATACTTTTAAAATTACCTGTATTTAACAAGAACTTTAGCAATTTAATGAATAATCAAAAAAGGACTAGACAATAAATTAAAATATGATCTATGAGCTTTTTAATATAAGTTTATATAGTGTTAAATTATTTTTTTAAGATTTGAATTAATAGCCGGATTATTAGCCTAACTGAATTGTTCTTGTTTAGCTATTTTTTTGAACTATTGATTCTGTCAGATTATTTATGTAATGATAATTTAAAATTATTATAATATGTTGTTCATTGTTATATTAATAATGTGAAAAGAAAAAGCGAATTCGATTGCTTACTTTCATGCCAAAATTTTTTCATATACAAAAAAATTTTTAACAAATGAAATATATGGAAGAAACACTTTCAAAACATCCAAAAGTTAGAAAAATTATTGATTTGAAAACTGTAATATGTATATGTAGTAAACAAGTTCGTCTTAATAAAAACTATGATCCAGATCTTCTTGACCATCATACTAAAAATAAAATATGCAAAAGTAATGATGGAAATTCTCAGATTACGCAATTTTTTTCAATTCAAGATTCAGGAATCCCTCTAAAAAGAAAACTTTGTATTGGATTAAATGATGAAAAGGTTAAATTATATTTACACTGTGTAGGTTTTGTAACTACATTTGGTGCCGCACCACCTCCAAAAACTATAGCTCGAGAATTGTTTGGTAATAAAATCAAGTCATCATTTTATTGGAAAGATTTAAATCAAGAAAAAAATAATAAACTTTTAAATACTTTACAATCACGAGCAAAATGGATAAATAATAGTACAACTTTTTGTATTAGAAGTACTGATTGTTTAACATATGTTGATAAAACTAATGAAGTTTGTAAGCAATGTCTTGATTTAAAAAAATTAAAGATTTTTCTGGTAATTAATTTCTTTATTTTGTTTTTTTATAAATTATATTTTATAATATATATTTATATATAATACTAAAGATGATTAAATATGTAGAATGCAATTGATAAACCAATTCCTAAAGAAAACAATCAAAAATATACTCCTTTAATTCTCTATAAAAATTTTCTATTTTATCAATATTGTAAAAATGTGAATGTTATAGAATTAGTGGAGTATTTTAATGAACAAGAAGATTGTACTTCTAAATTTTGGAATTAATTAGCAAAAATGGGATGATCTGGTGCTTTTAAAGATAACCAATTTTTTTTTAGATTATGTGAAATTTTTGTAGAAATGACAAATCATATTAATAAAGGAAAAAGGCTTCAAAATATTAGATATCGTGAACAATTTTCTAATTTTTTAACTATTTTAGCTAGTAGTAGTCCACGAACATATGCTATTTTTCAACAAAATCTTGCAGGAAGAACAGTTAGAAATATTCAGTAAATAATTTTTTTATTATAAATAATATAGTAATACTGTATAATTGTATACTATCAAATTATATAAAAAAAATTAGTCTTTAATTATTATTTCAAAAATGATTTTTATAACTTAAATGCATATATGTACTATCTATATGCATTAAAAAATCTTTGACGAATAGTATACAATTAAACAGTATTCACTATATATTATAAAAATTTTAAATTCTAATTTATTTTCAATTTAGTATACAATGTGCTCAATCAGATTTTACATTTAATAATTTATCAATATATTTTGAAAATATGACTAAATTTAAAAAATTTTTAATTAGCATTAATTATAATGGACCAATTGCAGCATCAACAGATAATACAAAACTTGAAGAAAAATTACGTTATTCTGCAAGTTTAGATGCAATTCTTGGATCTACATTGTCATTACATAAAACTTTAGTAACTTCTTATAATGAAATTGATACTATTATAAAAAAATTCAAGCTAATAATGCAATAGCAAAATATGTCTGTATATATATTTTACAAGTATTAGTTCCTAAAGTACCACCATTTGTATTTGAAATTATTCTAAATAATAGCGAAAATGTATCTGATGTATATAAAATTCATAATTAGGTTTTAGAACTTGCTGCACATTTTAATATTCATATATTATCAATTGAAGCTGATAGCGTATCAACAGAAATTAAAGCACAAAAGCATATTATGCAAATTAATAATAAAACATACCTTGAATTTAATAATGAATTATATGCTACATAATTAATTTATTTTTCATAATAAATCTTTGAATTTTAAACTTCATTAATTATTTATTTAGATATCAAATTATGTTGTTCTGTATTTCTAAACATTGGTCCTATTGTTTGTGTTTCAGATCCAAAGTATGCAAAAAAGAATGGTCAAAATAGTATTTTTAGTGGTGCCTAAATGTTAACTTTTGGAAATAGTTTTTTTGGTTTTGGTCATATATTAGAAATTTCTAAATTACCAAACTCTGTCTTGTATCATGCTGATGTCTTAAATGTAGATAAACAAGATGATGGTACTGCATATCGACTTTTTTCTCATAAATTTTTTTATGAAGCATCTTAAACTTTAAATTCTGATTCTAAAAACAAAAGATTATTAATTTATTTATTATTATTGGTAAGTTATCTAATTTATTATATTTAATTTTATAATAAAATTAATTTATTAATTTATTTCTTAAAAGGCGAATTAATTGACTCATATCTTAATCGAATCATAAAAGAATCAAAATGGTTATGATTGGTAGTTTTTTTCTAAAAATGTAGAAACAATTTATTCAAAATGCAGCAAATAAATATAAAGGAATTTTTTCAAATGATTGTAACTTTTTAGCACATCAAACTTATGAAATATTGTCTTTTCTTATCAATTCATTAGTAATATACAAACTTTAATTTTGATAATTAATTTAATAAATAAACTAATAATAATAAATTATTACAGATTTTGCTTATTATAGCATATCAGGAATATTATAATTCAGTTCTATTTTTACTCTGGATGCATGGTAGTGAAGCATGTGAACATTTTTTTGGAATGGCAAGGCAACATTTACCAAATTTTACATATGCAGATCTATTATATTTAATTCCAAAAATTTGGCATATTACAAATGCTTATTATAATTCTACAATTATTAATTCAAATTCTGAAAATAAAACTTCTCGAATTGGTTAGTTATTTAATAATTTTTTTTTATTTTACTATAATTAGTTTTTAACTTCTATTTAAAACTTTATTAGGGTATATTTGTGATTATTTTGAAGGAAATATTAACAATATAAATGCATATTTAAAAATATGGCCTACTGATGATGAAATTAGAGTTCTTATTAATGATGCATATAAAGAAGCAAATGTTTTAGCAAAGTGTGTTTCTATAGAAGTTACATTAAATTTCGAATTATTATCAACATCTCTAACTGATTCGTTAATAAATGATAAAATAATATCACTAACTGAAGAAAATTTAACAAAAGAAAATTCAACAAAAGAATGTCAAAATGAAGAAGAAATTTTAACCGAAATTGCTAAAATGATGGAAAATATTGCAAGCTTAAATTTACAAGATAATATAGATGAAGATTTGATAGATGCCTGTAAACAGATAAAAAATTTATCTAGTAATATGTATTTACAACATATTTACGACAATAAATTTAATATATTAGATAATAATGAAAATATAAATTTTGACTTTCTATATCAATATTGAAAATATCATAAGGCTTATACTTCAAAAAAAATGATTCGATTCTAATTTTGAAAAACTGGAGATTATAATTCATTAGAAATTAATTCATCTATTGTTAGCAAAATAGTTGCACAAATTACCAATAATAATAACAATTCAAGATTGCCTAAAGCATGATTAGAACGATGGGATATTAGAAAAAGATTTGAAAATGTTAATCAAATGTTAAAAAATTCATAAGAATTACAGTTACCAAATTGCAGTAAATATTAATTATTTAATTTTATTAATTTTTATTTAACAATTAATTATTTAACAATGAATCAAATATTTTATAGCTTTAGATCATATTCCTTTAATTTGTACAGCGAATATTTCTGTAATTCATCCAATACAAAAAGGCAGATTTGCATTAGCATTAATTAATAAGGAAATATATCTTGTACAAATTTTAGCAATTTATTATCGTACATCAACTGGAAATAACCATTTATATACTGAAGAAACTATAAGTGATATTAATTTAGTTACCTTTATTTCTACTAAAGTATTTAGAAATTTACAACATAATTTGTTTTATTCAAAATGTAATGAAGGATATGAATATTTTTGTTATTTATTATCTAAACAAATACTTTATTATTTAGACTATCAAGTAGAAGAATCATGTACAAATATGTATTTATTACAATCTAATGCATATCAAATTTATCAAACCCTTTCTAATGAGGATACGTATCACTTCACCAACGGCCATTTCGTAAACATAACATTTCACCGACAATAAGTTACTGACAATTATTTCACCGAAAAGTTTATTCCACCGACAAGTTTATTTTACCAACAGTTTATTTCACCAAAGCTCATTTCAAATACAAGCTTTTTTTTATAAATCTCACCAACCTTAACTCTAATTCTAACCTAACCTTAATAACAATGACCAGAATTATTTTGTCAGTGAAATGAGCTTCGGTGAAATAAACTGTTGGTGAAATGAACTTGTCGGTGAAATAAACTTGTTGGTGAAATAATTGTCAGTGAATTTTTGTCGGTGAAATGTTATGTCTACGAAATGACCGTTGGTGAAGCGATCTAAACCGTCTAATGATTGTATTTTAGATTGTATTTTACATTGTTTGAATCAAACAAAAATAAATAAATAAAATATTTTTAGTAAGGTTTTAGAAAATTAATAGTTTATATAAATAATAATTTTAGCAGTTATTAAAAATAATTAGTTAATTATATATTAGGCTATACAAACTTAATAAATCGGTTTTTAAAATATAAATTTTTAAAAATGACCTGGCAATCCAGCTTTAATTTTATTTTCAAAAAATTTTATATATAAAACATATAAAATTTTTTATAGATTTTTTAAAAAAACTCACCCGGATAGTAAGTATATGTGAAATTTTATTTTAAAGTTTTGTAAATTTTAATTCAGCTAGATTATGAAAACTAATTTATTAAGTTTGTATGACCTTATATTTTATGAACTTTAAATTTTGATTTAACCTAATTATTTTATTAAAAACTAAATAATTTTTTATATAGTCTAATCTGGTATGTAAAAATATAGGTAGATTTTAAATTTTTTACATGTAGTATGTATAAAAGTGGGTATAAAATCTAAAAATTTTTGGGGTAGATTTTTTGAAATCTTAGCATTTTATTTCCCCCCACATTATATATAATTATCCGGGGTCCTGGTTAGATTAAATATTTTAAATCAATTTTATAATACTTCTAGAACAATTACTCAACCCAGATAACTTGTGCTAGAAAATTCCTAATTCACTTAATCAAAGTATGACTAATATTTGCTATTGCACAACTTCATAATACTTTCTGCAATGCGAAATTGACATGGCGTAGGATCGATTTTCCGAACACGTGATAACTCCGGAAATCTCAAAATTTTGTTTACGTTAAGGTTTTGGTTTGATTGAAGTTCAATTCAGAGTTATAAAGACCGGCCTAATAGTAAAATCATGCAAGGAATTTTTTTACTTAGAGCACAAAAGGTCATAGGAAGAAGTTCGTCTGATTGGCTGATGTAAATCAATTGCCCGGGTAACTTATTTATATGTTTTAAAGTACT